TTCAATATACTAAGTGTTTCACAACTTCACATCTGACAAATTTCAACCACAACTACGATATTACATGAGAAGTCTATCACATAAAAATTTATAGAAGTAAAACGAGATGGCAAATAAAATTTATAACACTTTATATCCCCTAAAACTATTCGAAATGGGCTCTATTGGCGAAATATGACATTAGCGAATTCTTCAGCATTATGAAGACCCAACTGGAGAGTCCTATATCCTAAATTTCAATACTTGGTAGGGCCTCCCCGATTAAACAAAACCTCATGAAATCGGTTTGGCATAGATTCTGTGAGGTTGTTGATGAAGTCTATTGATATTGCCTCCCATTCTTCTGATAAAGCTCAGATAAGATTGTCATTATTTTGGGGGGCATCTCGCCTTCTCGATAGGTTGAGTTTCATTCGGCTCCAAACATGTTCAATCAAATTCAGATCTGGAGATAATGCTGGTCACCACATTCTTCTAATATTATTGTTTTCTAGAGTTCGTAATTTGTCTGATGAGTTGTGAAACACTCAGTATATTGAACAACAATACTTCGTGTTTCATACTTGGGCAATAAATATTGGAAATCAGTTGAAAACAATCATCGAATCATCAGGAAGCAAGTTTGAATTGAAAATTTTCATTCTATATTTCAATTAGAGGCGAATTTTCGAAAACGTCTCTAGTTAATAGTCTAATATAAATAATGAATATCGAAAAGGAAGTTTCTGAATATACTGAATCGAATGGGCCATTGTTTTAGTCACCATTATTGACTTTTTTTACTGAAATGAGATTTCGTCCTATTTTCTTTTCATCCTGTGTATTCCACATAGTGCTTTTTTCGTATTTCATCATCCTCCACAAAACATGAGAACAGTTCTTCCCAATAGTCAGCTCTAGTGGAGTTCTCAGAAAAATTTAAAGAAATGTAAGAAAAAAAATCGAATTTTTGTTCCAATGGCCAATTCAGGAGAAATCACGAAAATATCCCGAGATGGGGTCCCAGTGTATCATAATATGACTGACTTTTGATCAGAAAAATAATTCCTGAGTTCTGGCAGCATTGGGAATGTAGACCATAGTGTAATGGTTCCACTTCACACCCTGTGTAAGTTTTGTTCTGCAGACCATTTCAGAGAATTCTAGCTCTCTTTGAAGCTGATGAACCATCACATCTGATATCGAAAACCGCATGAAGATCGGTCAATTTTTTCAAAAAATACAGGTCTTCGAAATTGGGTCAAATTATGAGTGGTCCATTTAGTGTGATGAGAACTGTATATCAATTGTATCCTTCTTTTGGGTTCATGACATTACAATTTTAAACTCAGTGACATTTTGGCCAAGAGCAACAAATCTCCACAACATTTAATGAAAGTGACTTTGGGTTTTCATCTATGAAGAACAACTGATGTGTCCGCATTACAAGTACATAGAAATATTACTAATATATTTATTATATAGATGCATATCTGCATATCTAACCAAAATCCACAAGATAATATTATAATCAACATTTGAATTACAATTGGCGGAAAATTAAGTACAATTTAATCTACCTAATTAGGCACCTGTACCTAAACGCATAATATCGCATTATCAATAATAACCATAAAAATTATAGATAAGCATTATCAATGTTTTGTCTATGTCCAGATTGAACAGCTGTTTCAGGGTCAGAGTATTATTATTGATGATTTTCCTATACCTAGTGAATTCCGCATCTGCCAATTATTCATCTCGTCTAAGTAAGTAGATCCATGACGTCTATGAATGAACATTCATCTGCAGCAAAAAGAAACGTACAGAACAAAATATGAAACAAAAATATTCTGCCTAACCTGCAATGGTAAATAGGTGGAGTATTAGCAGAATAGTATATTATGTAACAAGTGTTATAAACGTCCTTTTAGTAACGAGTAGTTTAATCACGAGCGGAGCAGAGCGGAGCGAGTGTTTAATAAACGAGTGTCTAGAAGAGTTTATAAACGCGTTACATATTATGATTTTTCTACGAACTCCAAAAATTACATTAATTAACATACCTGCTATTCCTGCTAACCTACAAAATAATTCGAAAGGAATTAGAATTGAAAACATAATACATACAACTGCATGCAACCAGCGAGACACGTATAAGTGATATTGGTTGTAGACAGTTGTAGATCTGTCCAGTCCATTGCTTACTAACCTTTGTTTTTGTTTCACGTTTATTGTCATGCCTTAGCGCTGAATGAATAAATTGTTATCAAAGATGGATGCTTCATTTTAACACTTCTTGGAGGTATGTAAGTACGTGAACATTCTCTTCGATTTCACTCTCGTCTACTTTTCGCATATATTTTTATGAAGAATTCCGATACAAACGAATATTGTTTGAATAATTCTGATACAAAATATGAAAATAACCAGTTGACAGTTGATACAATTGACAGGCCAGACATGTCTCGAATTACTGAAGCTGTGTTTAATGAACTGCGTTGCCATGGTGATGTGTTTAAGAAATCGTGTTGCCATGGTAACGTGTTTAATATTTTGAATAAATCACAGATCGACAATCCGTGATTAATCGATCATTTAGCGTGGTACATATCCGTACGATAAATGCCATTTTAGTTATGTGAGTAGAAAAAGCTATTTTTCAACTAAACTCTAATGGTTAAGTGCGGATATACTTCCAAGTACTTAGTTATCAATAGTGCATTGTTTGTCTTTATCATGATATTACCGATATTATAACTATTCGAGTAAGGTAGATGATAGGACTTGAAACTACCGATATCAATAATTTTCATCACGCAAATCGAATGGATACATCCTTCAAGATGGCGAATCCAATATGGCTGAAGAATTTTGTAATTATGATCCGATTCTACTCAAAATTCGTATCTGGCGGCTTTCAGGGTCGGAGATTATGATTTGTTCTTCAAAATTGGGAAATTTAAAATGATGTATATGATTGCATATGAAAAAAATATTTTCACGAAATAAAGGTTATCACGGAAAAGAAGGAATTGTTGTATCAAGTAAAATATAATTGAATGAAGCAAAAAATAAAAGTGTTATACATGCACGACAAAATATAATCTTGAAATGAGTGAATCCATATCTTGTTTCAGAGCGAATTTGATGTTTGAATTAAGTAAATATGTCTTGAATGAACTTTGGATCAATCACGCACATCCCTGAATTGTTTATGAAGAGATAATGAATATTGATTCAATCAAATATTTAGTTGATTCAATGAAATATTTGGATGATTTGAAGAAATATTTGGTTGATTCAATGAATTATTCGGTTGATTCAATGAAATATTTGGTTGATTCAATGAAATATTTCGTTGATTCAAGAGAAACTGTACTTCCATTCGACAAATTGTTTTCTTCAACCAAATTCAGTATTAATTCGGGAATTTTCTGAAATTTCACATCAATAGAATGAACTAAACTAGGTAACTAGTCGACTTTTAGCATAGATCTCTAGTCTTTACTTCTCTTCGGCTAATGCAAAACTGTCTCGGATTGCTAATCATCATGATCGATTTATTCAGCTGATAATTTATGAATTCGAGGCAGACATAGACGAGGCGAAATGATCGCCATCTACAGGCGAAAATTCAACTTGATCCAAAATGATCAAGATATTTCATTGATATTACCTATTTCGTTGCTCTATTGAAGCAAATGATCGAAACGAGTTCATTGCTACATCGGAATAAGAAAACTTGTATATGTTGTTTCAAAGATATATTCCCATCAAAATGATCATTATTTGATCGAATCAACAGGATGTTTATAGTTGAATCAACATCGACATCATTATGGATGAACATAACTTTTTTTTGAGAAAATCATATATTTTGTTGATGGAATTGATATTATACTGTTGATTCAATTAGACTACATTCTTGATTCAAGAATGTAGTCTAATTGAATCAACCGTATAATATCAATTCCATCAACAAAATATATGGTTTCCTCAAGAACTAATTATGTCGATCCAAAATAATGTCGATGTTGATACAACTATAAACATTTCTTTGATCTGATCAAACAATGATCATTTTGATGGGAATATATCTTTGAAACAACATACAAGTTTTCTTATTCCAATGTAGCAATGAACTCGTATCGAACGGATCATTTGCTTGAATAGAGCAACGAAATATGTAATATCAATGAAATATTTTGTTCATTCTACGTCAACTCAAATTTTCGCCTCTAGATGGCGATCATTTCGCCCCGTCTATGCCTGCCTCGAATTCATTATATACGTGAAGCCTGATTCTTCGTGTTTGAAACATTAGCTGGATAAATCGAACTTAGGATGATTAGCAATCCAAAATAGTTTTCCATCAGCTAAGAGAAGTGAAGACTAAAGATCTATGATAGGAGTCGACTAGTTTCCTAGTTTTGTTTATTCTATTGATGTGAAATTTTAGAAAATTCCCGAATATAAAATTTGGTTCAACAAAACAATTTGTCGAATGGATATATAGTTTCTCTTGAATCAACAAAATATTTCATTGAATTAACCAAATATTTCATTGTCTCAACCAAATATTTCATTGAATCAACCAAATATTTCTTTGAATCAACTAAATATTTCGTTGAATCAACTAAATATTTGATTGAATCAATATCTTGTTATTTTGAATCAAACGAAATGATTGTTTGAGCCAATTCAAAATTTCTTCATAAACAATTCATGGATGTGCTTGATCGAAGCAGATCCAGAGTTCATGCAAGACATATTTACTTGATTCAAACTTCAAATTCGCTCTGAATCAAGATATAGATTTACTCATTTCAAGATTATATTTTGTCGTGCATATATTACACTTTTATTGGCTCCATTCAATTAAATTTTGCTTGATTCAACAATTCCTTTTTTTCCGTGTAGTACAAATAATATACTATTTTGTGGTCCTATATAGGAAAATGGAATTGACAACTTCTAGTATTGTGGAGGGTTCTTATTACAATGGTTTTTTCACTTACGGGTGTGGTTGTGGAAGGAGGCGGGAGAGTGGCGGCGGTATCCGGGCGGGTGGCTGGCGTGCCTGCCCCCCTGGCGGGGCCGCCCCGCCCCCACTGGTGCTGATGGCTCAGCAGGCACGTCACCAGCGCCAATGCCGCCCCCGTCACCAGGACCGCCCCCACGAGGATTCCGAAAGTGCTCGATGAGGATCCACCTGGAATACACGACAAAGTATAGCTATCCATCGATAAAAAAATATTTGAAACGACAAACATTTTGAATATTCAAATCTCTATTGGCATATAGAAGAGTTCTCTTTTTATGAAGATATCAATAGAAAGCCATTTTGGAGAGAATAACATGGTTGTCAATTATTACCTTTGCTCAATTGTCTTTCCAAATTCTGCAAAATTTTAGAAATATTTATCCAAAATAAAGAACAATGTTTATTCCACGTGACTACCATGTTATTCTCTTCAAAATGGCTTCCTATATATTGATATAATCATAGATAGAAAACACTTCTATACGCCAATAGAGATTTGAAGATCACATGCGAGCACTTTAATAGCCATCTATAGTCGAAAGAATTCTGGTGTGAGATTCCAAACGTTATCATCCGCCATTTTGTTTTGGATGAATATTTTCGTCTGAGATTCTGAGGTTGTATAGAGAATCGAAAGACCTTTCAATCGTCCCCCCACTCCATTTGAAAAAATCTGGAGAATACATATTTTTTTTTTGGAACAATATGTAGCAGTGAAACTACCATTGAAGCAGGAAAGAATTGAAGAAAAAAATCCCATCCGTTCTAAAGTTAACCAGGGGGGGGGATGACTTTATGGACAAAGTGTATATTTAATAAAGAATTCTGATACAAATGAATATTGTTTGGATAATTCTGATTCAAAATTCGAAAATAACAGTTGACAGTTAATACAATTGACAGGCCAGACATGTCTCAAATTACTGAAGCTGTGTTTAATGAACTGCGTTGCCATGGTAATGTGTTTGAGAAATCGTGTCGCCATGGGAACGTGTTTAATATTCTCAGATATAAGTCACGTTTTGAGATGTTTGTGATCATCATCAGTGACCTGCAAGTGTTTCAAACAACCATGTTGCCGTACAAATTTGGTGATAACTTTTCAGAGGTCGGACTGGAAACTTCCAGTTTTTTTTCCAGAAAGATATGGCCTTCAGAAATATTTTTTGTATCGTGTTGATTTTTGATAAGTCTCGAGGTTCATTTGCAAATAAATAATTTCTGATCTGAGGCAGATTATGCATTTTTTGAAAAAATAATCTGGTTGGGATATGGCATGACAGTAGACTCCTGGGATGAAAATGAGGTGATTTAAGATAACTTACATATTCAAAATCGTTTCGTTGAGTTGGTACAAGGCGTTAAAGTTAGGTACTGAATAGTTATCGCTGAATTTGTAAAGCGAGAGTTCTTGTAAAGCCCGCGAGGACCAACAACATATCAATTTTTTTACAATATGGATACATTGTAGCCATGATCAATAAACAGACCGACTATTTAGATTAATTTTCGAAAATGCGCAGAATGCATCATATCAGAAATTATTTATTTGCAAATGAACCTCCAGACTTATCAAAAAGTAACACGATACAAAAAATATTTTTAAAGGGAATATCTTTCTGGAAAAAAAACTGGAAGTTTGCAGTCCGACCTCTGAAAAGTTATCACCAAATTCGTACGGCAACATGGTTGTTTGAAACACTTGCAGGTCACTGATGAAGATCAAAAACATCTCAAAACGTGACTCACAGTCACAGAACATTCATTTTTATGAGCAAAATTATTTTTTTCCAAAAAAACGCCCTGTACCAACTCAACGAGACCATTTTGGATATAGGTAAGTTGGCCTTAATCAACTTGTTTTTATCCCAGGAGTCCACAGCCGAGCTATGTCCTAACCTTTTACAGGTCCTTTTCTTCCATTGGCGTAGAATTTTTAAAGGTGCAATTATTTAAAAAATCAAGTTCTACGCCTATATGTATTATTATCGGACAAAATTTTGACACCAATTCATTTGCCACATAAAACTCTATCAATATACCAAATTTCAGCAAAATCGCATATGCCGTTTTGAATTTATATGGAAAAAACGATTCAAAAATTGTAACTTCAAGGCCCTCTGGAGCCCAAACGATGCAACTTTGTACTGAGGTAATTTTACTTAAATCGACTTATTTTGATCTGAGGAATATGTAGTATTTTGTGAGGACCTTTTACAGCCACCCTGTATATGTATCGAACACAGAGGAACAAGAGCAATTTTGTTTTATAGCCGTAGAATAAAATAGTTCTGCAATTTTATCAAATTATCTGGGGAAATATAATGTGAACATCACGTTTTCTCCAAGTACCTACGCTTCTGATCTTCATTACATAAGGATGAAACTCATTTCGCATAATTATTCAATGATTAAGATTACTGGCACACCTACTGTAGTAGTAGTATAGTTAGCTCCAATCGTCAATCCTCCTACCCAGGTACAAAATGACAAAACGAATGCATAGGCCGGCTACGTGTCTGTGACATTGAAGCCAAAGAGGGTATTCTCGGTAATCGCAAACTAATAAAACCAAAATTTTATTTTGTCTGGACCGTTGGTCGATCCGAGATATGCAAATATTCAGCAGTAACACCCGGACGAAAATAAAATAAAAATACCAACAAAATGCAGTTCCCAGACGTGCAACATGAGATTGCAATTGCTTTCGCATTCGGAATTATGGTCTTACCACCTTTTTTGTACGTTTTTCCTCGTACGTATATATCGGATTTATTTACCGAAGCATAAAGCATCGATTTTTTTGTTTATTTTTAGGTCACAGGAACCACTAAAACGCTCATTGTATATTTTATTATATTGACACATGAGTGCTATTTGAGAATAAACTGCAGCTAAAATGAACGGTCCCATAACATTGAATATTGAATTCGGTATCCAAAATACTTACATTAATTGAATAAGACACCTTATAGTAGAGGAACCGAAGCACAGACCGAAGTAAGGTCGACCTTGACCCATCTGTTAATTGAATACAAATTATTTTATCTACTCATTGAAAGGAGGAAAAAATATTAACACCCGTGGGTGGTAAAATAAATATGCTTCAGCAAGCATCCTTATGCAATCCATGTAATCAGTGACTTTATCACTATTATAAAACAAATAACAATTATATCCTTTTCATTTTTATAATGATATCATACGCTTCTTCATATTCCGAACGTACTTCTAATCGAAACTCCCAAATGGAGTTACACAATATTGAAATCAATTGATTCATGAAGACAGAAGTGTCAAATTGACTCGTTCAAATGCCTTCAATTGTCTATTCGCGGGAATCAATGTCACCAGGTGGCGCGGTTTTCATCGTTCCATGTCAAATCCACGTCAAAACTGAGGGAAAACAAACTCAATCCTCACTCAATCCCATTAGTGCCATCAGCTTGTGTACTATGACTGATAAGAGTGATAAGTTTTTAAATTTCGTGACATTGATTGTCAATATTCGATCGAAAACGTTGATAATGCCTGTTGTAGATGTTCTTTTGGTAAATATTTTGCTCTATTTAGATGGAAAGCAGTAGTGGAAGGAGAAGCAGTTCTCCGTGCTAATCATGTGATTTTGTGTGAGGCAGAAGACTTCAACAAAAGGCACATTTTTGCACTTTGTCTACAAACTTCAGCGATGAAATCTTCCCCACATGAAGTAAAATTGAAGTTGGGGTCCAGAGGAACTCCTGTAGAACAATGGATTTGTATTTGTTTATGCAAAGCAGGACAATCTGGGTATTGTAAACATTGATTTGCTCCTGTTCACTAAATTAATAAAAGTGTAATAATGTGAAAACATTAACCAACTCAACCATCATCACTATCAACAGTGCCAACACTTTATGTCATTGACAAGTTTGACTACAACTACAGCAAGCTGAATGCAATGTAGTCTATGCACTTTATCCATAGACAAGAGTTTGTTTTCCCCCAGTTTGAAGTTCATATTATGTAACCTAGATGTCGCCCACTTCGTGAATCTCGCGAATAGCATATTCCTTTTTGGATTGAGAGATAGACCGTCTGAAGCACAATTTCAAGAATGATGCTTTGAAAAATGCGTTCGTTGATAAAATCATATATATACAGGGTGATCCACTGTGGATGACCTATTAGAAGTATCTGCAGGAGAACGAAAAGACAAAACATTCTGAGAATTAGAATGCTTTGATAATTGAACATTTTCTATCCGTCTTAAATATTTTCATCGATACAGTGTTGCCACTGCTATCAGAAAAAAACTGGCAACTTTGTTAGTTCGAATGGAACACCCTGTATTTTATTGGATTTTCAGATTCCTCCTGTGGAGCTGATTTCATCGAGGCATCATACTTGGGGTCTAGCAGGAATGATTACAGAGATATAGGGTGTTCAAAATCGAGATCTTTCAATTTTAGGATTTTTCGTGTCGAAACTATTCATTATCGATCAAAACGGCTCACATGTCCCTATCTTAACTTTTGATTCACTATCTACCTACTGAAAATTAATTGGATAAAATACAGGGTGCTTCAAGATTTAGAATTCTGATCACCCTGTATCTGTTCCCAATTAAATGTCAGTATATAGTGAATCGAAAGTTAAGATATGGACATGTAAGCCGTTTCGATCGATAATAAATAGTTTCGACACAAAAGAATCCTAAAATTGAAAAATCTCTATCTCCGTAATCATTCCTGATAGACCCCAAGTGTGATACATTGATGAAATCAGCTCTTCAGGAAGAATCTAAGAATGCAATAAAATACAGGGTGATCTATTTGAAATAACGACGTTGCTAGTTGTGTCTGATAGAAGTGGCAACACTGTATCGATGAACATATTTTAGACGGATAGAGAATGTTCATCCCAATTTTAAGAATGTTATGTCCTTTCGTTCTCCAGATACTTGTAATAGTCCATCCACCGTGGATCACCCTGTATATGTATTATATACTCTTCAAAGAGTGGGTAAAAAACGCGCAACAAGAACGCGTAATCAAATGTAGAAGAATTAATTATACTGTACGTTCAGACATTAGTTGATGTTCGATAGTTCAGATAATGCATAGTGCTATAGTAATATGATTGGTAGACAGATCTACGTCATATCGATCAATTCAACTTCTTTTATC